ATTGTCGTATTTAATCCCCACATCAGTCCTAGAGGGAAGTACTCTGTTATCGTCCTCAGCTATCTCAAGTGAGTCGCCCGAGATCACAACCTGTAATTGTCAGAGCCAGGACTTAAATTTAGGTTTACCCCATTTTAGAGGCCATTCTCTTAGCCTCTGTGGGAGATCAGGATTGGCCACCCCAAGATGTGTCTCTTTGCCTTGATTATTTTTAAGAACAAAAGACTCAGAAAGAAACTTTGACCTTCCCCCTCACTGCCTAAAAGAATTTAAGAAAAAAGACCTGTCCCCAGGACAGGTCATCACCATAGATAACTCTTGGTATGGATAGACTGGGAGGGTCCTTGCTAAGTCCATTCCTATCAAAGCTCTGAAAACCAAGCAAGAGTAGAAGCTACCCTTCGTAAGAGACATTTATATTTGTAAGGGAAATCTCCATTTGTAAACTGTCTCCTTCTCTGTACCAGGAAGAAGTGGGGATGACCTTATCTCTAGAAACTTGTCAATGCAGAAGGCAAGGCCTTAAATCTGCATGATAACTTTACTCTTGTTTACTGTGCTTTCTGGTCATCTCCCATAGCTGACTCCCCCCACCTCCAACATCCTCCTTCGTCTTTAGCTGAAGATAGTATTTAACATGAGATCCTCCAGCATTTGGGGAGTTACCCAGATTTTCCTGGGTCTCTCCCCTGTATCCATGTTACCAAGCTCTGTTTGATTTTCTCCTGTTATTCTGTCTCATGTCAATTTAGTTCGTACCCCTGCCAGAAGGACCCAGAGGGTAGAGGATTTCTCTTCCTTACCTACGCCATGCTGCTTGGAAGTGAGACAGTAGTGTAATCTTCACCTAGGACAATATCTTAGACAAGATCATGGGTAAGATGAAGTCCTGCCCACCCTCAGGCCAGGCTGGCAACCTGTCTGGCTTGCTCTGACCTTATCCACCTGGCGCCTAATTTCAAGACATTGCTTCTTGCTGTAAGATACACCCACAGACCAAACTTTGCCTTTTCTCGGGTTCCTTCACATCACTTCCAAAGTGAAAATTTAAGAGAAATAGCAACTCTTAAACACCCATTTGCAATCTGTCATAAATCATCAAAGCATGTATATTTCTCCTGCTCATCATAGGAAAAAAAAAAAGAAAGAACTCTAACTCTTGTCAGCTAGAGTTGTGCTTGAGATGGTTGTCAACCATTGTTCCCACTGGTTTTGTTAATGAAATGAAAGGAAGTGAAGTTTAAATTTCTCTCTGCATTTTTCAATCTTTGTCAATTCTTCAGGGGCAGTAGACATGGCATAGCTGTTCAACACTTGAGCTCTACGACTAGAAATACAATTTTTGGCAGTTGGAGGAGAAATATAATTTTAACAGTTGCAGGAGAAAATAATATCCTGGTGGGAAGGCTGCAAAACTAGGAGGAAGGATGAAAATCTGTTTTAAGAGCTTAGGAAAAGGCAAGGAGTAGGAACATGACTAGCTCGTGATTTATTAAAGCTTGATGTGATGAAAGATAATTTATATGAAGTCATTTGAAGGAATGTTAGGTATGTAAAACCTGTTACTTTTGCTGTAATTAATAATAATATTGATAATAATAGTAATAATAACAGCTTCAGCAAAGACATGTATGTGCCTAGTTTGCTATTCTTTCTGCCTAAACTGCTCTTTTCCCAGATCTTCATGGGGCAGCTCCTTCTCCCCTCATTCAGGCTTCAGGGTTTATGTCACCTCCTCAGAGGTGATTTTCAGTTACACCACGTTATTGTGTTTTCCATTCATTATAATACTTATCATACTGTTTTCTTATGTATTTGTTACTTTGCTTGTCTGTCTCTTCCCCTAGAATGTAAACTTCTTGTGAAAATACTTTATCTCCCTTGTTCAATGTTCTCTCTCTAGAACCCAGAACAGTACCTGACACATCATAGACACTCACGAAATAAATGCTTGCTGAATAAGTGAATAAATGATCTCATTTCATCTTTATAACAACTCTCTGGACTAAACACTACTACATTTTACACAGAAGAGACTGTGTGGAAAGATATTAAGTAATTTGCCCAAGTGGACCTAATGGAATGCTTGAATGAGCATCATCTTAATACACCCATTTCATTTAAAACAAATTGTAAAGGTTATCTCTTCTGTCTCTTCACCTCTGGGCATGAATGGCCTAAACTCTTGCCAGAAAGATATATGTCTATATTTTTTTAATTCTATAGAGGAGAATTCATAACATGTTTTAGTTTTAGTGTCTCCAAATCTTCTCTTTCTAGTATCATTTTTAAAATATTTTAATTAAATTTAATTAAAATAAAACATAGTTTCCTTATTATAAAAGCAATGCTTATTTACTGTAAAAAAGTGGATAAGCAAAGAAAGAAAGAAAAAGAAAATTAAAAAATACAGAAAAGAAAAAAATCTAAAAATCCATCCACAATCTTGCCACCCAGGTAATCACTAACATCTTGGTTTTAATCATCCTGATAATATATGATAGACAGAGAAATACTTTTAAATGGGTTAATCTCTTACATATTGTTTCACTATGTTTCATATAATGTATTGTTTAGATATTTTCTTATCGATATTCATCTATATAGTGTTGAAGGTCTATATGATAATCTTACTATATAAAAGGATATATCATAAGTTACTGAATCAGGGGGTGGGGGAGTTGGAGGTAGGTGGTCAAAAGATACAAACGTTCAGTTAGAAGATAAATAAGCACTCAGATGTCATGTACAACATGATGACTGTAGTTAACACTGTTACATGATATATAGGAAAGTTGTTAAGAGAGAGTAGATCCTAAGAGTTCTCATCACGAGGAGAAAAAATAGTTTTTTTCCTTTTTCTTTTTTTTTTTTGGTGTCTATATGAGGTGATAGATGTTAATTAAACTTACTTTGGTAATCATTTCACAATATATGTAATTCAAGTCATTACACTATATACCTTAAACTTACACAGTTTGCGGTATGTCAATTATATCTCAGTAAAACTGGAAAATAAATAAATAAAAAATTACTGAGTCAAAGCCTTATTTTTAGACATGGATTTTCTCACTTCCGTTCCCTTCTTCTTTCTTTCTATTTCTTTTCCTTTCTTCTTTCCTTTCTTTTTTCTTTTTTCTTTCTTAAAACAGTATAAGCAATAGTGCAAGGAACGTCCTTTTACATAGATCTTTGGGCACTTATCTGATTACTTTATTAGAATAAATGCCCAAAATGTTCTTGCCAGCTCTACCTGCAACAGCACTGCGTAAACGTGTCTGTTTTTCTGCCCGCCCCTTCTCTTCTCCCCTCCTCGTTTTGTTCACATACTGATCTGCTAAAATTGTTGGTTTAAGGATATTATTCCAGTTTCTGGCATTTTTGTTGCATTCTTGACCCCGCTGCTATCTGTCTATACTTTTTTATGTGTGTAGGGAGGCTGTCTGGGGTCGGGATATGGGAGTGGCTACACTTAGCCACTAGGTAGCTATATGACCTTGTGCAAGTTATTTAGGTCTCATTTTCCTTTATATGTGCAAAATTGGGATAATTACTTTACAGGGTTGTTATTAGCATCATATGAGTTGTGTATGTAAAATACATACCACAGTGCCTGGCACTTTGTTAGCATTTGATAAATGACAGCTATTATTATAGCTTACAGAAAGTTGGAATGTTTATGTAGTCATATTTAATTTTCCTTTAGCCATAGGTATTATACTTAGGAATTACCCTGAAGTTATATGAATATTCACCTGTATTTTCTTCTGGAAAATTCTCACACTTCTATGGTTTTTCATTTTACATTTAAAATCTTTAATACATATGGAAAGTATTTTGCTGTTTATTATTAAGTGATGATCTTATTATATAGTTTTTCCTTAGGTGGTTAATCAGTTTTCCCAACATTTAATGAACAAATCATCCTTTGCTCACTGATTTGAAATGCTACTTTTATCATATACAGAATTCCTGTACATACATGAAGTAATTCTTACATTTTCTCCTTTGTTTCTTAGATGTGTCTAACTGTTCCTGTATTGATTACTGCTTTGTTTTATTTATTGTGGCTTTATAATATGTTTTAATATCTGACAGGGAAAGTGCCATCTTATAATTATATTTTCCAAAGTTTCTAGGGTATTCTTATATATCAATATTTTTACATTAACTTTAAACTTGGCAAACTGTTATTTAAATAATCCTGAATAACATTAAACATATAGCGTAATTTGATGGAGAATATCTTTTACAGTATAATATTCCCATGCAGGAATGTAGGGTGTGCCTCTATTTATGGTCTTAAATAAAAGTACCTCAGAAAAACTTCATAGTTATCTCAATAGTATTAATAGTGAATATTGCTTGTTAAGGTTATTTCTAGGTATTTCGTAATTTTTTCGTCTTGTGAATGCTATCCCTTTGACTAATTTTTTCCTAACTGGATACTGCTCTTGCATAGAAATTTATTCTTATAAATTATTACAACGAGCCACTTTATTGAACTTATCTGTTCTAAAAATTTTAAGCTGATTTTATTGATTTTTCAAGCAATCACATTATTTGCAAATATAGTAATTCAGTCTTCTCATTTTTAATATTTATAACTCATTTTTTCTTGCTTTATTACGTTGGTTAGAACATTTAAAACACTGTTTAATAACAGCAACAATAACAGAGATCCTTGTTTTTCTGTTTTTAATGGTGATGTTCCCATCTGTCATGGGCAAGCCTCTTGTGTTTTACCATTGAGGATAATATTGGCTCTCCTCCCAACACTGTATCTGTTATTCTTGTCTTTAAACATGTTCTTTCATATGCTGTTATCAGTGGAAACAGAGAAGAATGGCTCATCATTTTCCTCTCCACATTGACAATATTCTTCTCAGTGACTACTAGCTTTTTCAGTCAAAAATTGCATGTGTTCTAAATTTTACAATAGTTAATTTTAAGGGAAAACAGTTTGTTTTGTTTCATTTTTGTTGTTTTCTTTTTGTTACCTTTGCAGAGGAAAGGCTAATGACGTGCTGCTCTTTCTCGTTCGTCACGATCTCGGTGATACTGAACATGTGGCCCACAAGTTTCCCCACGGGCTTGGTGCTGATGTTGGGATGCCACAAACGGAGCACTTTATCATCTCCTGAAAGGAAGGACAAGGAGAGATTATTTTCTCAGGGAGACAGGTGGGCAAAGGTTAGATTCTCTCTCACTCAATCGTATCCTTATCTTGCTTCTAATATCAAATCACAGTCTGTTTCTTCCAGGATGCATTCTATGATTGACTTGCTAAGAGGCTAGCCTTGTTTTGGGTCTGCTGCTTCTTGTCAAAGCTGTTTTGTAATAATTTTATTTACACATACAAATGTGAACTCTTATAAATATTTTATGAGTCCTTTCCTTGATTCAATACTTTCCCACTCATTCATGCATTGATGTGTTATTTATACTTTATTTACTTCCCCAAAGTATTTAAGGCAGCTGCTCTTTTGTTTTCACATTCTTAAATTATGCAAACATTATAATAATAAAAGAAATCAAAGGAAGAGGAAAATTGCACATAATCTCTACCATTATAACAAATCAACTGTTTTCATTTTTCCGTCTTCCCTTCTAGCACATCTCCATAAGCATGGATAATTCATATGTAGTCACTGTCATAGCACAGACACTATCTTTTTAATTGTTAAAATCAAATTAGTACATGGTAAAAGATTTAAACAATATATGGAAGAGTATAATTTTGGTAAAAAATGTCTTTTTTCCCCTCATAATCCCTACTTCCACTGCCTATAGATAATCACTGTTAACATTTTCTTCTCTTTCTTTCAAATAGACTTTTTATTTTCAGAGTTAAGAATAATGCTTTTCCATTCATATTTAAATATTTCATATTATTTTCAGGAAGTACTTAAGAAGATTTCTCAACAACAAAAAAATAACTATCACTAATTTTTATCTTTGATATACACATAAAAATATATTATAAATGTTGCCAAAATACAAAAATCACTGTTTTGGAATGTATTTCTATCAAGAAATAACAGAATGGGCTATACTGAATGCATAGAGAGACAGACCAAATTAAAATTTTGTAGAATAGATTTGTCATTTTATTATTATATGTAGATTTAAGGGAAAGTTGCTTCCTTTTTTTTCTAGCTTTATTGAGATAGAATTGACACATAACATTGTGTAAGTTTAAGGTGTACATATGATGATTTGATATATGTATGTATTGCAAAATGGTTACTACAATAAGGTTAGTTAACACATCCGTCACCTCACTAGTTACCTTTTTTGTTGTGTCATGAGAACTTTTAAGATCTACTCTCTTTGCAACTTTCAAGAATACAATACAGTATTGTTAACTATAGTCACCACACTTTGTATTAGATCCCCAGAACTTATTCATCTTATAGATGGAAATTTGTACCCTTTTTATAAATAAAATATGATTAAAATGATAAAAATAAATATATTTAATGTAACTTTTAAAAAATATAAGTTAGATATATTTCCAGATACATTTTTATATCCATTTTATACTTGTTTGCTATTTTAATAGGTCTAAAATGATACTTTGTTTTAATTTAATTTATATGATGGCTAAAACTGTTGAGTATTATTTCCCATGTATATCTGCTAATTATATCTCCTTCCTCTGTGAATTGTTTGACCATATCCTTTACCTATGATCTATTAGAATTTGGATTATATTAAAAACTAAAATGTAATTAAAAATTTCATCATATGTGTATATGTATACACACATCCAGTTTTATGATAAAGACTGGCTAGCCGTTCACCAAATCTGTATTGTCTCTTACTGGGTACATAGCTAGACTACATTTCCCAGACTCCCTTGTATTTACGTGTGGTCAGGTTACTGACTTTTACCCAGTGAACTACGAGGGTTGATTTTACATGACTGAGAAGAAATACATTTCCATTGTGTTTTAGTCATTATACATTTTGGGATTTATTTGTTATAGCAGCTAGCATTACCTGAACTAATGCATAGTTATAATCTAATTGTATTTTTTTTTTTAAAAAAGTAATCTAAACCATGTATAATAGTTTACAAAATACAGAATATTTTTAAGATATTGGATTCTCTATTTCACAAATCATTAAATGTCATCCTGGAAGTTGAGTCATACAAATATCAAAGAATTTCAAGTTGGGACCCTAGCAGTTATACCCTTCAACTCTCCTATATCATAGAAGAAAGAAACTAACTCCTAAAGATTAAATGATTTTAATTAAATGGTTTAATTTAATTTAACTTAATTTAGTTTCATGATTTAAATGTGACCTGTCCAGAATCACATATCAGAAAGTGACATCACATTTAGGAATACTATGACGCGTTCTTAAGCACCTTACTTATTACCAAGGACATTTAGGGCACTAGGAAAAAAAAGATTGTATCATTGCATTATTACCTAAGTTATAATTTATATATAACCTAAGTTATAATTCACAATTTATATATAAAATATCTAAAATTCAAAATGGTCATTTTAATCCATCAGGTAGCATGTCTGTAGCCACTCGCAGGATGAATTAGCTGATATATATTGGAATTTTTTTTTTAATATATATATATTTTTTATAATTTTATTTATTTATTTATTTTTTCCCCCAAATCCCCAGTAGATGGTTGTATGTTGTTAGTTGCACATCCTTCTAGTTGCTGTATGTGGGACGCGGCCTCAGCGTGGCCGGAGAAGCGGTGCATCGGTGCGCGCCCGGAATCCGAATCTGGGCCGCCAGTAGCGGAGCGCACGCACTTAACCGCTAAGCCACGGGTCGGCCCTATATTGGATTTTTTATGTAACTACGCTTATCTATGCCGAAAGAACCAGTCAGGTAGGGAGGAGAATTAAGTGACTTGCTTGTGGGATATTTGTAAGCCAGGTAAATGTGATAGACACAGAGGCGTCCATAATCCTATGATTATTTTGCTGGGCCCCATGAAAAACGAACATAGTATTTTCTCTACCTTTTTCTTTCTCTCCTTTGAGTATCTCAATCCATCCTTCAAGTCTTAGCATAGCTCTCCCACATATTCCAGGATGTCTTCATATTCTTCAAAACTCAGTGCCCCTGCCCATGTGCCCTCTTCCCTTATCATCTTTTATAATTGATTACTCGTCTGAACCATCCAGTAGGCTCCAAGTACCCTGAGGGCAGAATTTTTCTTGTTTATTATGGCATCTCTAGTGTGATACCATAATAAAGGTATAGATTTATAGTATTTACTGAACAGCTTCAATGACTTCAGTGTTGAGATGATGACTCCTAGCTGAGAAGTTTAACTACCAAGGTGGCAAGAGCGGGAAAATATGAATCTTTGTTGAATGTTCATCTGACTCCTTTGATAAGGTCAGCTGCTCCATTCCAGAGGTTCTCACATCTTGGAGTGTTATTAGAGGCGGTACAAAAAAAACTCAGGGCACAGCTAACTCTCAGTTTCCATTTTTCAGGCAACTGCTATGGGTTGAGTTGCGTCCCCCAAAATTCATGCTGAAGCTCTAACCTCTAATGTGATGGTACTTGGAGATTGGGCCCTTGGGAGGTGATTAGATTTAGATGAGGTTGTGAGAGCAGGACCCTAATGATGAGATTAGTGCTCTTATGAAGAGAGACATCAAAGAACTTGTTCTCTCTCTCTTTTTACCTGTCATGTGAGGATATAGTGAGAAGATGGCTGTCTACAAGCTGGGAAGATTGTCCTCTCTGGAAATCGACCATGCTGGTACCTTGATCTTGGACTTCTAACCTGTAGAACTGTGAGGAAATTAATTTCTGTTGTTTAAGCCACCCAGTCTATAATATTTTGTTATGGCAATCTGAGTCTACCATGACATCAATCAAGATATTTTGAGGACTATTGTCAACGAGTAAGTGGGATATTTTCTTAAATTTAAAACTTCCATGTTACCCTAATTAACAACAAGAAGAAAAATTTCTTGAGAAAGTACTGTACACTTGGCATTTTACTAGATGTTGAGGATACAAAGAAATTCTAGATATTGACCCTGCCAAGAGTTTACTTTTTCAGAAGACCAAACCTTATCCTTTTTTAGACTTAATTCCAACGTTTCCTCCCTAATGCCTTCCCTGATCACGTTCTCCAGCCTCAGGAATTAAGACTTATTCCGTGTTCTTGGGGTGTTTTCTTCAGATTTCTTTTATAGCATGAATCTTACTCAATTATAATTTTCTGTTTTTCTATTTATACATCTGTTTACCCGTTATCTGGTGAGCCTTACATTTCTCATTTAGAGCAGTGTTTGACAACTAGAAAGTGCTTAATACACATTTGCTAAGTAAATGAGTTGGCTAGTGGAGTCACCCATGAAGTGGTTAAGAATACATATTTTGAGAAAGTCTGCCTTGATTTGAAGCCTGGCTCTATCACTCACCAGCTTTATGACTTTGAGTAAGTCATCTCACCTCTGTGTGTCTGCATTTCCTTTTCTATATAATGGGGATAAGTGGAACTTATGTCACAGTTTTATAGTGAAGATTAAATGGGATCATACATGTATAATCTGAACAATTACTGGACAGTGAGCTGACTGTTATTACTACTACTATTATTCTTCTTCTAAGTCCCCACCATGGATGATGCATTTTACAAAATGTTTCGGGGAGAGAGAGAGGAACTGATACACAGATATATGAAACATGGTTCCTGATATTGAGAGTTTATAATATGAGTGGCAATAAGGCAAGCAAGAAAGATAGAGAGGGAAAGTAAGTTTTCATGGAAAGAGTATCAAATCTGAAGATAGGACTTGATACTATAAATAATATATTATGGTTCATAAGGGGTTAATTCCTTGTTTGTTATTTTTCATTTCTTTTCTTTTTTTTTTGTCAAACCGCGATTTACAGTAAGCCCACACATAAAAGAGGGGATGTTTCTTTCCTTTAGCAAGCTCTTAACTCAGTTGGTGAGTCACCAGATCAAGTGCATCCCTCTTGATGAGATGAGCTGGCTCGGTTCATGGAGGAAAGCAAGGGAGGGTGCACCTGTAGTGAACCAGATACTGGGGTCCAGGAAGGACGGGGCTGGGAGCAAAGGGAACTGACTCAAGCTCTGTTCCCCTGGCTAACTTGTTGCTTGAG